ACAAGGTATCAATAGAACTACAGCATTATCAGAAATGTGGAACAAAATTAAAAACATTACCAAACCTTCAGCCCCAGTTCAGCTTCATCATACTCCTGCAGAATATGCTGACATGCTCCTAGCTCAATGGTCTAGTGTCTCACAAATTTCTTCCTTACCCCCAGATATACAGCAGCATTTAAGACATACCAACATTAACAGAAACTTTAATATTGAAATAGCACGCTCCTCACCAGATTTAACGGATCAGTTTCCTATAACCCCCTTTGAATTAACATCAGCATTAGGAAAACCTAAGCAAACTGCCCCTGGTGAGGATGGTATAACTTATAACATCTTGAGCTTACTGAATGATGTCCCTAGCCACCCTCTGCTTGACCTCTATCAAATGAGTCTCTCACAAGGTATCTTGCCAAAGAATTGGACACAAAGTCTCATAATACCAATTCCTAAACCTAACTCTCAAAAATTCAGACCCATTTCCCTTACATCTTGCATGTGTAAAGTCTTGGAGAGAATTGTTCTCAATCGTGTCATGTTTCAGGTCAAAGAAAAACTGGCCCCAAACCTATATGGGTTCATGCCCAAGTGTAGCACACAAACATGCTTTGCTGAATACTTTGTAAACTCCCAGGATGGGACACAGGCAGCCTTTATTGACCTAAAGTCAGCTTTCGATGTAGCGAATGGCGAAATAATATTAGAGCAACTTGCTGAATTTGGAATCAAAGGTAATCTTCTGAGTTGGATAAAGAGCTACCTATCCAACAGGCGTGCTAGTGTCCTATTTAAAGGAGTTAAAAGTACAAGAACAGATGCATTCGAACTAGGCACACCTCAAGGTGGTGTCCTAAGCCCTATGCTCTTCAATATACTTATGCACAAACTTATCCATGACATACCTGTACAACCTACGGAAACAGTTATATGTTATGCTGATGATATTTGTATTATGGCACACAGTAAACCAAGGCTACAAATGTTACTTGATGCATTCTCCAAGAAAGTAGTAGAATGTGGCCTCATAATCTCTGTTGATAAAACAAGGGTTCTTATTCCCCATTCTCTCCATGCTAACTATACTATTAATGGAGTGCCCGTGGAGACTTGTGAGTCTTATAAATATCTTGGAGTCGAGGTTAATGATACAAATCTCATCAGCAACCTGCGTAAAAAACTTGTTGAGCGTCTTAAACCTCTCAGAACTCTTGTTGGCAAAGGATTTGGCATTAACATAAAATATGCTCGTAGTTTTTATATTGCCTTTATACGATCTGTTGTTGATTATTATGCCTTGCATCTTCTTAATTTTTCTCCTAAACAATTACAAGGCCTAGATGTAGTACAGAATGATGCCATGCGCATCATCCTGGGTTGTCCTAGAACTGTCAGAATTGTTAACATGAGAAAGGAACTAAACTTACCTTCCATTTACGAAAGAATAGTTCTACTTAGTACTATGTTTTGCGCCAAAACTTTGAAAAATAATGGTCCCCCCAGCTCTATTCAAATTAAATTGAGATCCATTCTAAACAATTCTGACTGTTCCCTCAATCCGCCGCAAAAAGCTCCCTACAGTGTGTGGCTCAGTTGTTGTGCCTATAATCTTCAGAAACTGAATGTATCTCTTAACCCTGATAAAACTGTTCTCTATATTCCCCCTTGGAAAGATGTGGAGGTCTCTCTGCATTATACTCCCATCAGTGTAAAACAAATGTATAACACTGACATTTTGAGATGTATAACATTAGAAGCTATTGACAGTCATCTTCAAATTCTCAAACCGACTGAATCCTATGCCTTTACTGATGGCTCTGTGCAGTTAGGCACTGGTAGAACAGGTTGTGCATGTGCAGTGTATAAAGGGAATGAAATGATCATGACTAGTACACAGAGATTGAACAACTGGGCAAGCACGACACAGACCGAGCTATTGGGTATTTATCTAGCCACTGAATACCTTAAGCTCAATGGTGGTGGAGTTATTTTCTGTGACTCTAAAAGTGCTCTGCAGTCCTTAAATAACCCATCACAATGTATGTCGGAAGTAGCTTGTAATATTAAATGGAATGTAATTTTTGCCAATGATAATAATTCTTGTATAAAATTTGTGTGGATCCCATCCCATGTTGGAGTTGAAAAACATGACTTTGTAGATCAATTGGCCAATGAGGCTTGCAGGAAAGAAAACATTGATTATGACTTTGGACTATCTAATGCAGTTATTAGAAACATACAAATTAAAGAAATTAATTCAGATTTAGAAGAACTAAGAAATGCACAGAGACCTGAAAGCTGCAGTATTAAAAGTTATGACAAGTTCTGTAATAATAGGTATTTGTATGGTCAGCACAGTAACCGGACCAGGCAATGTGATGTAGTAATCGCGCGAATTCGCCTTGGCTATAGACACATCTGGCAGGTTAGTGAGGCTGAGCCACTACCAGAATATTCAGATTGTAAACTCTGTGATAAACCTTTAATGCATTCACTAGAACACTATATTGATGAATGTGAAACCGTAAAGGACTTTAGACCTCCTGGCCTATTGTACCACCAACTGTGTAACTATTTTATTGACTCAGGTGTTCTGGACGACATCCTAACAATTTACCCAAAATTTGCTTGTCCATTTTAAAGAATGAAGAACAATTTCTATTTATACTCTAAGCTGCATCACTTATGAACCCATCCCTGCCCTTGTGTGGCAGTGCACAATAGAAAGTTGTTTTCACATATCCACACATTAAAACATTGATTGTAACCGTGATATATATGTGCTTCAGCCTACAGTTTAGGCCTATTGTCTTATGTATGACCCTCTGTCCTGCGTGACAGTGAATACTAGCATTAACCTCAATTTAATAAGACTATCAAAATCCTCAGATTAGGCAAAATTGTAATTAATTTTGTCAATAAAGATGTTAATAATAATAATATAATGATAAACCCACTGATATGAGGAAGGGAGGGTGTCAGCTAGCCTCCAGGGCTCACCCAGAAACTGGCATTTCATTACATTTAATTGTGGTTTTCTGTGGAATCTCCCGTCGTTTCCCTGGAGCTAACTACCCACAGAGAAAGAAAAAATGAACACTTACCAGGGAAACGGCAGCACTGTAGGTACTGTATCAAGTCAAAGGTGTGACCGATCACCGAGACACACGACCCAAGGCAACACATGGCCACAGAGGACCAGGCACATTGACAAGGCTTCTGGCAGGCAAGACCCTGTTAGACCTCCAAAACCCCCACACCCAAATATCAACCTGGACTGTGTGCAGCTTAGCTGACCCAAGCCTCGGTTACTTTGAAGTCAGAACCAGGTAAGGAAGGCCAGAAGCAGGGCAAACCATACCTGCAAGAGAAGGAATTGGAGATGCGGACTCAGTCCAGGTGAAGGTCACCAACACCACCAATTCCGAGTCCCTTAACACCAAGGTGCCAACTCTGGGGCAGCCAGCCAATCAATATGCTGTGAACACCTAACCAAGCAAATCTAGCTTATAAAGTGGCAGCTGCCTGAAATGCCTTCAACTGGGAGGTAGAATCAGTCAGTGCAGAGACCCAGTGAGAACAATCCTCACAGGACTCAGGACTGTAGGTGTCACCAACCCAACAGGCAGTATGGTTGGGGTGGAAAGAATGATCATCATAGGTAGCAAAGATAAGATAGCCCCCTCCCCCTCAAACTCACACTCAGAACTTGGCCTGTTGTGCCCGCAAGAGCGGGTACAACAGGCCAAGTCATATGAACCACACCAGAGATATGCAACGGATTCCTATGGCTTGAAGGATGGTAATCAAGCAGACATCCCCAGGTACTAGGGTTGCTCTCTGGAAGAACAGACACCATAGCCAAAACTACTAGGCTATGAGTGACAAACTGTGGCATGCCATATAAACAAGTGTGTGAGCAGTATGTCCCAGCACACCCAAAGAATGCCTCCAGCCAAGATCCCAAACTGAGAAATCAAGGCTCCTTGAAAAGACGAGGCTCCTTACCCAGGTGGTCAGGCTTCTCGAGGGCGAACTCCCGAACACACCAAGGAAGGGAACTCCGACTGTGCAAGGGCAGTGTTAGCAGGCACACAAAGAAGAAAACCCTGAGTGCATGTAGCCCAAAAATGCCACAAGAGGCAACCTCGCACAACAACCTGGAATTAAGACATGCACATGAGGCCTTTACTAAAGCAAAGAACAATAAACAAAGCAAATGGTCCCTGCAAGACAACAGTGTCCAAGAATGGCTGGCACTTATCTTGAAGTAGGAGGGGGGGAAGCTTGCTCACGGTCTGATGCACCAGAAATGCTACAAGCCGTACCAGTCAATACAGCATCAACAAAAAACTGAAGTGGGAAGTTGACCGAGGGCTGGGGCCAGGCAGTGTAGTGGTGGCAATCAGTATTATTGAATTTCAAGCTAATTTGAGTGAATCCCTTGTTCTGTGTGAATCCTTTGCAGAGCTGTTTGGCAGTTTTATGTTTCATTTTCTGTGAACCCTCCAGTTGTTTCTAAAGCTTCACTGACATTCTGGAGGCTTTTATAGTGGGATGGTGGATTGTCACCCACTCCCTGCACCTCTGAGAACCAGGTTCTGGCTCTGGTCCACAGTATGCCAGAAAGAACTTTCACAGCTGATGTGACTGTTTAGTATGAAGCAATCTCAGTTATATAGCTTCAGGGAGCCACTGGTGAGCTTTCTCCAGAAAAGTTGGTAAGAAACATGAAAAACATAAATGCACAAGCAACAATATAATTTAAAAATTGTTTACTGTAAGAACTAGGCGAGGAAAATTGAATAGATTATTAATTAGGACTGCAATAAGAGCCAATGAAATTTGCTATGAATGGGGTAAGAGGGTCTCCTTCAACTTGCATACAGCAGTGCTTCAAAGGATAATTTAAGTCAAGTAGTTTCATATTTGGTTTGTATTGTCTTTAATTAAATCATATTTAATTGCATTTGCTTTGGTACATTTATGTATCGGATACTAACCTGGTATATTCTCGACTCCCACGATGGGAAGCGGTGTAGGGGCGGAGTGGGAGGCTTTTCTCCATTGGCCTCTGTGTCTCCTGGCCATCGGGCGTGATCACGGCTGGGTGTGTAGATTTCACTGTAGTCATGAGCCTCATCCTTAGCACGAGATCTTCTGCCATCATCACTTAAGTGACTGTCTCCTGACCGAGCAAGCTGACTAGAGTCAGTGCTCTCTGTATTGTCATACCCATCCAGCTCTAGGTCAAGACTATCGGCACTCTTTGTGACATAGGCTGGCACACTCCCTCCCTTCTTGAGGTGTTTGGTTCGTGGCTGAGGAACAGGTTTCCGGGGACTGTCTCCCCTACTGCCTGCTCGGGAACCACTTCTAGGCAAGCTACCTGTGCTCTGTGTTAGGCTGTTAAGCATCACTTCCAGAGGACTCTTAGGACTTAAACTTTGAGGAGTCTCGAGGTCCACAGAGCCAGAGTCCACACGAGAGTCTCTCACTCTCTTATCATCATCATATTTTCTTCTCTCCAGACCAGTCCGTGGGAGTCCATTGTGTCGAGACTTGAAGCGAATCTCTCCATAGTTGGCATCTGTATCACTAGAACTGGCTCTCCTCAGTCCTGCCGGTGACCTTTGTGAAGTAATAAAATAGTAAATATTCTTGCTCTTGCTCAATTTGGAAAAAGCGTCCAATAGAAAGTTTATCTGTATGTGGGGCAAGTATGTCGGATATCAAAATATGCAAATAATATTATTCTATGACCTTTGTGACTACAGTTTATCGATTACTAGCTTTTAATACAGTACTTTATTATGCTTTTACAATTCCAGTGCTACAAAAGGTGAATTTTTTGGGTGCAACAATCCCTATTTTTGTACAATCCATTCATAGCTGCTATAGGTTCAATAAATTTTGGAGGATGGGTTATCACATTCCCAGTAATATAGGCATAGGACTATAAACCCATGGAATTACCTACCTGCTGAAGCTGTAAATGACAAGACATTACTGCAGTTCAAAATTGAGTTGAAAAAAAATTCTCAGGAAAAAGTGGGAGGGGGGGAGGGACCTCCAACATCCTGCCTACTTCCTGTCCCCGTCAAGGGCACTAGATAGTGGCCCTCGGGTAAATTCAGGAAATTAATAATGGCTAATAAATACAAATTTACATTTAAAACATGTATTGCAGTCTGCCCTTGCATTTTCAGCAAACATATACAATTTTATGCACTGATTCAAAGAAAGTCTAGTACTATAGAGTACAGTACTGTATTGTCAATTTATATAAAAAATATTTAAAACTACTAGATGTATAAAACCACCTAACCTAGGTATAATTATATATTGCATGAACCGTTTTCAACACCACTTTCTATGTATCTGTTCCAACTATAAATTAGTATTTTTTGCCAACTCGTCAAATACTGTACGTACATCTATAAGGCAACTGTGGTTCATACTGATTACACTGAGCAATATTGGTACATGATAACACAAGTATGGGTATTGTATTGCTACACAGTATCGAAGTGGTGAGTATACTGTACTCTTATACCATCATGCAAAAGTTATAATGTCTATAGTTATAATGGATAATAGTAAATCATATGGACTATTGCACCCATAAAAAAATCGACATCTGTACTATAAATTTTATAGGGAGGCAAGAGAAAGGTGGCATGAACTATACCCAGCATTTCCTAGGCTTAGTATAGTACATACTGTGTATGTAATAAATTATACCCAAGATTATATATATATATTAGGCCTAGGATAGCTTATTTAACCTAGGACAGATTACTTTACTTTTATGGTTACTCCGTTTCATTTTTTGATAGCTAATTTCAATAGTACAAAATGTTAACTTTTGGGATACCATAATCCATATTTTGTACAATCCATCCATGGCTCCTATCGGTTCAGTAAATTTTTGAGGTTGGATTATCTGATCACATAACCAGAAATATGTTGCACTCTTATCAAAAATACAAATGACGTAGCAATATTAAATATAACTTGTTCATTAGCAAAGTTAATCGGATGCATCCGCAAACCTGCAGGGAACGTGAGGGTGTGTTAGAACCTGTAGGGTGAGTGGGATGCACCCACGATCCTGCAGGGTGAGAGGGATGCACCCACGAACCTGCAGGGTGAGAGGGATGCACCCACGAACCTGCAGGGTGAGAGGGATGCATCCACAATCATACAGGGTGCATGACTGATTCCTCGACAGGTCTGCATGGTGAGTGGGATGCCTCCACAAACCTGCATGGTGAGTGGGATGCCTCCTCAAACCTGCATGGTGAGTAGGATGCCTCCACAAACCTGCATGGTGAATAGGACAACTCCAAAAACCCTGCAGGGTGAGTGGGAGACATCCGCCAGCAACACAGTCATTATTACTTCTACGACCAAGAGGACAAATGTCTACCAATTCACAAGGACACACACCTGGATTTAGAGCGTCTGTCTCGACCAAGAGTGGCTGGGCGGGAGGGGATGTAATCGGCCTCATTGCGTCCATCAGGTAGAGATTCATCGCTGTCGGGTCGGTCACCCTCGAAGCTCCCCCTTGATGAATCCTGCTGGCAAGACATGCACATCAGACCTGCTTCTAGGGTTGCGACAGAAGGAAGGAATATATAGCCTCCTTTGCCATTCATTCAGGATCATGGAAGGCTAGGATGGGGAAATCACTGGAAAAATGGGTTCAAGTACAGTTGTGAATGATTTGGAAAACATTTGTTACATTGGTGAAATACTCTACATGTGCTCCTGACTGCATTTTCTCATTTACAACTGTAAATGAGAAAATGCAGCCAGGAACACATGTGGAGAAAAATGACTTTGAAACAAACACTCGCACAAAACCAAGCACGTGAATAGATGAACACACACACACTCTGGGAGGGGTATGGCAGAATGACACAATAACATAAGAAGGAACAAAGAAAGGGAGACTTGCGGAAGGGTAAATAACAAAAGAGAGACGGATAGTGAGAATGGGAGAGGGAGCCATAAGCAACCAAAGGTATGAAAGCAAAAGCATGTGGATAGGGGCATAGTATAGTTAGTCGGCTTAGACTGAGGGGGGAATCTTTTATTTAGGCCTAATAGGCTTAATGAGGACAATGCTGATTTATAGGGAATGGGTTAACCGAGGAAATTTATTGGTTAATTAAGTTCAGCGAGGTAAATATTGGACTTATTAAAGTGAATACTGTATTTGGTTTACTGGTTCAGCGAGGTAAAAATTTCATACAAAATAATCTTCTTTCTCACTATACACAGACATTTATTTATCTGGTTGCGGGGAATGGTAGCTTAATGAGTCGCACAAGTGAAAGCAGTTACAGGCCATTGGAGAATAAAAACATATATGGCACACTACCTAACAGGGAGACGATACCCTGGCATAGATAAGCAGAGCCCAACTGCAGGGAAAACTGGCCTTAAACATTGGGACATGTCCGGTGTAACAGAAAGTATGGAGAAAGTTTTGTGATTGACCCAAGAATTGTCTAGTACCTGGTTGATACCTACCTGGTTGATGGGGTTCTGGGAGTTCTTCTACTCCCCAAGCCTGGCCCGAGGCCAGGCTTGACTTGTGAGAGTTTGGTCCACTAGGCTGTTGTTTGGAGTGGCTCGCAGGCCCACATACCCACCACAGCCCGGTTGGTCCGGCACTCCTTGGTCCGGCATCAGTACAGAAGTGAGCAAGATATTGTCCAGAGGCCAAAATCTGCCCTCCATGTTTTTGCTTAAAAAGAATCCTTATATGAGAATTGACCATCCATAGCTGAAATACCAGCTCATCATCAGTTTACCTGGCATTAGGGATTAACAAAAAGAGCTCGGTAAATCCTTATCCGATTAAATCCTCCTTGACCACGTCACATGGATCACCACATCCACATCAGTATCAGTTGGGAGTATTTTCTTATTGATTTTCTCCTTAATCTGTGAAAAACTTGAAAGTATTTTAACCTGTACAACAGGTAGAGCAGTGGCAGTCTTTGCTGGCGAGTCTGCTTTTTCATTGCCAGCTATGCCAATGTGACTTGGTATCCAATTTAGGGTGATTGACAGCCCTAGATTGTGTGCTCCTTTTGCTATATGTAAGATTTCTGTGATGAGTTGTATATTATCTCTGTGCTGGCTGGATTACAATGCTTGGAGCGAAGATTTAAGAGTCGGTATGAAAGATGACATCTTGTAAACTATTATCAATTGCATAATTTATGGCCTCTTTTAGGGCATATAATTATGTTTGCAGTGTTGAGCACCCACTTATCATGCTCCAGTAAGCTTCATGGTTGTTGGTGTAAACTGCTGCCCCAGCAGAATCTCTTTCTTGATCAACTGATCCATCTGTCATCTGTCAAGATGCGAGTGATTGTCCGTCTTGAGATGCTGTTCATTTGCTGTTCTACGATTGCTTTGAGCCTCTGCGAGTCACATGCCGATTTTTTAACGGGTAATCCTTCAATGATTATCTTTAGACTATCTTCTTCCCATGGATGAGGCTACCAAAAGTGTTCAACTTGGGTTATCTTCTCCTTTGTATCTAATGATTCGTTTCAAGTCATCGGTTAGGTTGTTGTTTTGTTATTTTAGATTCAGCTACTCAAAACGAAATGTCCATGTAGCACCGGCTATAGCTAGCCTGTAAACTGGTTAGGCTATGTTCGGTTATGTTCGAACATAATGAGGTGAGCACATCAGTTTAATGAGGTGAATGCTTGAGAGGATGCACTGGCCCAACACCAGCAAGAGTACAGCTCAGTCTAGTCTCTGAATCAAACTTACAATGTTACTCAGTTGTTTTGCAGAGTTTTTAGCCGTTGCTCCAAACCATAATTTTGTAAGTGAAAACGAGTGAGTGTGTGTGTAATTACCTAAGTGTAATTACCTAAGTGTAGTTACAGGATGAGAGCTACGCTCGTGGTGTCCCGTCTTCCCAGCACTCTTTGTCATATAACGCTTTGAAACTACTGACGGTCTTGGCCTCCACCACCTTCTCACTTAACTTGTTCCAACCGTCTACCACTCTATTTGCGAAGGTGAATTTTCTTATATTTCTTCGGCATCTGTGTTTAGCTAGTTTAAATCTATGACCTCTTGTTCTTGAAGTTCCAGGTCTCAGGAAGTCTTCCCTGTCGATTTTATCAATTCCTGTTACTATTTTGTATGTAGTGATCATATCACCTCTTTTTCTTCTGTCTTCTAGTTTTGGCATATTTAATGCTTCTAACCTCTCCTCGTAGCTCTTGCCCTTCAGTTCTGGGAGCCACTTAGTAGCATGTCTTTGCACCTTTTCCAGTTTTTTGATGTGCTTCTTAAGATATGGGCACCACACAACAGCTGCATATTCTAGCTTTGGCCTAACAAAAGTCATGAACAATTTCTTTAGTATATCGCCATCCATGTATTTAAATGCAATTCTGAAGTTAGAAAGCATAGCATAGGCTCCTTGCACAATATTCTTTATGTGGTCCTCAGGTGATAGTTTTCTATCTAGAACCACTCCTAGATCTCTTTCTTTATCAGAATTCTTTAAAGATTTCTCACATAATATATAGGTTGTGTGGGGTCTATGTTCTCCTATTCCACATTCCATAACATGACATTTATTAACATTAAATTCCATTTGCCAAGTGGTGCTCCATATACTTATTTTGTCCAGGTCTTCTTGAAGGGCATGACAGTCATCTAAATTTCTTATCCTTCCTATTATCTTAGCATCATCAGCAAACATGTTCATATAATTCTGTATACCAACTGGTAGATCATTTATGTACACAATAAACATCACTGGTGCAAGAACTGAACCCTGTGGTACTCCACTTGTGACATTTCTCCATTCTGATACATTGCCTCTGATTACTGCCCTCATTTTTCTATCAGTCAGAAAATTTTTCATCCATGATAGAAGCTTACCTGTCACCCCTCCAATATTTTCCAGTTTCCAGAACAACCTCTTATGTGGAACTCTGTCGAAAGCCTTTTTTAGGTCCAGATAGATGCAGTCAACCCAACCATCTCTTTCCTGTAATATCTCTGTGGCTCGATCATAGAAACTGAGTAAATTCGATACACAGGATCTTCCAGATCGAAAACCATACTGTCTGTCTGATATTATATAATTTCTCTCTAGGTGTTCTACCCATTTAGTTTTGATTAGTTTTTCCAATACTTTCACTATTACACTTGTCAATGATACAGGTCTATAATTGAGGGGGTCTTTCCTGCTGCCACTTTTGTAGATTGGAACTATGTTAGCCTGTTTCCACCCGTCTGCTACGATTCCTGTACACAGGGATGCCTGAAAGATCAGGTGAAGTGGAATGCTGAGCTCAGATGCACATTCTCTCAGAACCCATGGTGAAACGCCATCTGGGCCAGCTGCTTTGTTCTTACCGAGCTCCTTGAGCATTTTTTCCACTTCGTCTCTAGACACCTTTATGTGTTCTATGTTGTTCTCTGGAATTCTTATTGTATCTGGTTCCCTAAAGATTTCATTTTGTACAAACACACTTTGGAACTTTTCGTTTAGTGTTTCACACATTTCCTTTTCATCTTCCGTGAATCTATTTCCCATTTTCAACCTCTGAATATTATCCTTTACCTGCAATTTGTTGTTTATGAATTTATAGAATAGACCTGGTTCTGTTTTACATTTGTCCGCAATCCCTTTTTCAAAATTTCTTTCTGCCTCTCTCCTCACTGCCGTGTAGTTGTTTCTCGCATCTTTGTATCGCTGGTATGTTTGGGGGTTCGGCCTCTTCCTGTATTGATTCCATTTTTGTGTCTTTCGGTCTCTAGCCCTCTCGCAATTTCTATTGAACCAATCCTGTTTCCTAGTTCTGCATCTCTGTTTTGGTATAAATTTTTTTGTGCCTTTATCATATATTTCACAAAACTTGCCATACATCTCATTCACTTCCTTGCCTAGCATCAAGTCTGTCCAATTATACTCACTAAAAAAATTTCTAAGGTCACCATAATGTCCTCTCCTGAAGTCTGGTTTTTCAACTGCTTCAACCTCCTTATTTTCTTCCAGCTTATAACGCATTGCATACTTTATTCCCAAAAAGACATGGTCACTTTTACCCAAGGGAGGAAGGTACTGAATGTCAAATATCTCTTCCTCCTTCCTGGTAAATATCAAATCTAGCATGGAGGGAACGTCCCCTTCCCTCATCCTCGTAGCTTGTTTAACATGTTGATACAAGAATGTTTCCAGGATGAGGTCTACAAATTTACAGGTCCAAAAATCTTCTGTTTTAGCTTCATATGCTTCCCAGTCTATGGATTTCAAGTTGAAGTCACCGACTATCAACAGTTGTGATCTATCGTTATCCGCTCTCGCTATAATCTCTCTCATTATTGTTATAAGACCTTCACGTTTACTATCTAGCTCCTCCTTTGACCATGTGTGTGTGTGTGTGTGTGAGAGAAGAGGAAGCTAAAGCAGAATGTGGATGACTAAACAGGAAGTGGTAAGCTAAATAATTTAAACACTGTGGATAGAAAAACAGTGTATTTAATTGTAAAAGTGTGGCAGTGGTAGAGAAATACA